CTCGAAAAACAATACATTTTTTGGTCAAGTGAGACTAAGAATTATGCCATTTACAATATATTTTTCCTTTAAGTTTATCTGGAGATGGAATTTTGACTCATTTTGGTAACTTAAGGAAGTTAGCCGCAAGCAAATGATCAAAAATGTCATCTGCCTTAGTTAAATCGAAAGAGTATTTCCTATGAAGGTCATTCTTTTTAAATTGTTGATCAATTATTGTATCCTTATGAATTAATGCTTCACAGATCACAGGTTCTTTTCCCACAATCTCTGCTGCATCGATCTCATAATTAGGATCTCTATAATATGTCTTATACGATGCATTATTTCGATCTTGTTCTTCCTCTAGTAATGCTTCGTACCTAGACACCTTATAAGTGAGTTCCACTAAGTCTCTGAACTCAGTTGAATCAAACTTCTTTCGAAGCCTAAACTTTAAGCCATTTTGAGCCAATCTCACGAATTCTGGCTCTAGCAGGATGACTCTACATTTATTTCGAGCCCTTTTAAATCTGGCAATAAACTGAGTAGCCTTCTCATCAGGCCTTTGACTCAATCTTGCCAGTCTGCCATGGAAACCTCTGGCTCCGATTGGAAGAATTGGGCATGAAATGTCTCTTCCATTTGTTGCCAAGTTTGGATAGAGCCAGGTATAAGTTTAATATACCATACAAATGCTCCCCCAGTTAGGGAATTTGGGAATAACCTTAACTTCATATAGTCATTATTAGTAAATTCACCGCATTGAGTAGCAAACCTAGCAATGTGCTCCACTGTTGATTGGTTTCCATTCTCATAAAAAAGGGCAAAATCTGGTATTCTGAAACCTCTTGGGTATTCATGTATCCTGTCTACCCATTCTGGGTATGGTTTCCTGTACACAGGATTCTTTGAACATGTAGCCATTGGTCCATAATTACAATCTATGGCCTTAAACATAAATTAAAGAGGGACAAACACAGGATTTGGTGGACAACCTTGTGCCTGTGGTCCTCTTGGTCCATAAGGTGGTATATTTGGGACTGGTTGTCCCTGTGGTGCAGGTTGTTGTTGGGGTTGTGGGTAACCCCTTTGAGCCTGTCCTACGAAAGGACCTGCAAAAGGTGCTGGAACTGGTGTTGTGTCTTTTCCATTTGTAGGAAAACCTTCCAACCCCCCGGGTATAAATTCGAATGCAATATTAGTGAACCCCCTCGTGCCAGGTATGGCTTCGAACATGGGATTTAGAACCATTCTTATGCCATTTTCTTGTACTGGGCCAGATCCACCAATTTGCATGGCTTCACTGTTAAGCACTGAGGCATTTTGACCTGCTATAGGCCTCGAAATAGGTTCGTACCAAGAGTGAGGTGATGGTCTTTCATAGTTTTGATTACTAGTTTGACCATAAGAATGTCCATTAACTTGCATAGGCTGTTTATCTCTAGCCAATCTTTGCTGAGGGACATTTGAAACTTCCTCCATGTGTCTTGCATTTGTTGGTTGATGGTTATTCATTCGATCCAAAAAGAATGTTGCCCACCTTTCCATCGTGTTCATTAACTGCTGTCACATGGCATCTATTAGGCCACCCCATGGATTTATTGGTTGAGTAGATGGAACAGTGGATGGTCCAATTTCTTGGTCTCGTCCAATATTATGAACATGTGGTATTTGTTTTGAAGTTCTGGTCTGTTTGACCATAGGTTCTGATAAACTGGGAGTTTCCACAGGATGTGTTATCACATTATCCTCTAGATTAGGTATCTCTACCTCTCTTTCCATGCCTTCTTCCAAGCGTTCATTTTCTCCTTATCTCCTACGTCTAACCATTTCAATTAGTCCCATTGGGCGTGCCAAAAATATATGTTGGCTTTTTGGCTTTCGAAAGTTATTTTTGTAATTGCGAGCGTGCCAGCAAGGATCAATCAGTCCTTACAGAAAATTAATTCTTTCAGCCTCAATGAAGAGGACTTTTACTGGTGGCTTGATTTAGGAGAATTAAGCAAGATAACAATTAAATGAAGAACAATTGAAGGATTTCATCAAAATGAAAAACTTATAATGATCTAAACTCAACCTCGTAAAGGTTTACAGCAACAATCTACTACTTGAAACTACTCCTATGAACGAAGTGTAGTGTCAGAATATAAAGTACAAGAATGTAAAGAACAGGAAATGTAAGACTGGAAATGTAAAACTGGAAAGGAAAATAAGTAGAATAAGACTGACTTTTTGGATCTGAGTCTAGGGGTCTTTTTCTGGGCTTTCTCTACTATTTATACTTCTTAAGGATGACCGTCGAACTGCATTTCCAACCGTCGAGCTGCTTCTTCATGATCGCTGATCATGTTGCCTTATAATTAGCTCCATTGTGCCATCACTTGCAGTTAGGCTTCCTTCCTAAATTTGAATTTAAATGTGAGTAACCGTTGAAGCCGCATCACCTTGCATCTCTTTATTGATCCACTGCTACTCAAATCTCGCAGTAACCAATACTAACTGCCACATGTACGATCAGGATCGAAAGACTTGAATGGTCTTCCTGTATTACCCTTATTCTGCCACGCGTCGAATTGTAATTGACTTGTACAAAATATGTAGCTAATAGTATTACTTACCCAACAAATCTTATAAAATAAGTTATTCAAGTTATCAACTTATAATTAGCTCCATTGTGCCATCACTTGCAGTTAGGCTTCCTTCCTAAATTTGAATTTAAATGTGAGTAACCGTTGAAGCCGCATCACCTTGCATCTCTTTGTTGATCCACTGCTACTCAAATCTCGCAGTAACCAATACTAACTGCCACATGTACGATCAGGATCGAAAGACTTGAATGGTCTTCCTGTATTACCTTTATTCTGCCACGCGTCGAATTGTAATTGATTTGTACAAAATATGTAGCTAACAGTATTTCTTACCCAACAAATCTTATAAAATAAGTTATTCAAGTTATCAATCAGTAATTGGATCACCAAGAGAGGAGCTCACCATTTTTTTTATTGGGTAAATTACAAAGCATTTTCTAAAGTTTGCTTAAAGTACAGATTATCATTTATGGTTTAAAAATTTACAAATACCTCATTGTTATAATTTTTAATTTAACAAAATTAACTAAAAAAATGAAATTCATAATTACTCTCCTATATAATAATAAAATTACTTAAATTATTAATTGAAATATATTTTTAACATCATTACAAACTATTATTAATTAAAGGAACGATTTGTTATGAAATTAGAAATTTCAATAAGTGAAATGTAATTTTCAAAATCATAAAAGAAGTTTTGTATTTTAATTAAATATCAGAAGATATATTTATAATTTATTTATTTTTATTCATGTGTGAAGGACAATACAAATCGGTTGAGACGATATATGAACCAACCTTATCATCTATAGTTGGATCCCAGGGAGAACGTTTCGTTTAAAAAACACACAAATCCAAATTTGATAGGTACAGCTAGAATTTGGATTTGAATCAACTCCAAGACGGCTATATATGTGTATTTTTGCATTTTTATATAATAAGCAATGTTACAAATAAAAAAAAACTGGGTATGACTTTTTTTTAGTCCCGTTATCGTATTAAACGGTTTTATTGGGCCTTTTTGGACCTGATTTTGGTCCATTTTAATGATTCAAGCTATTTATTGTGTAAATCTCATCGGGTATATAATTTTTATAAAAATTTATGTTGATCAAATATCGATAATCATTTTATTAGATTATATTTTTGATAGAAATGTGATTTGATTAAGTGACTATTGATATCCGACCAACATAATTTTTTGTAAGGATACTCGAAAAGTTCTACATATTAAACAGTTTGGGTCATTGAAATAAGTACAAATAAAGGCACACCACGACTCAACATAACATCTAGTTTGAAAACAAATCAGAGAGAAACCCCTAAAAAAAAAAAAAATTCTATATATTTTTTTACCAAATTCTTATATAGGTGTGGGACACACCCATGTAATTATTTGGTATGAAATTTAAAGTCTAGCATTTTTGTTATATAATTAGTTGTAATAATTTATTATAATGACTTGTAGTACACTAAATTACATTAAGGTTGATCTACATATTAAACAGTTTGGGTCATTGAAATAAGTACAAATAAAGGCACACCACGACTCAACATAACATCTAGTTTGAAAACAAACCAGAGAGAAACACATTAAAAAAAAAAAAAAATTCTATATATTTTTTTACCAAATTCTTATATAGGTGTGGGACACACCCATATAATTATTTGGTATGAAATTTAAAGTCTAGCATTTTTGTTATATAATTAGTTGTAATAATTTATTATAATGACTTGTAGTACAATTACATTAAGGTTGAAAAGTCATAATCAAACCGACACAAGCCAAGTTGAATTGGTTCAATTTATTTTTTTGAAAAAAGTTTTTTAAAAAATTATGAACTAAATTGAAAAAATAAAATATCAAAAAAAGTATTTTTAAATGTTTACAAAATTTATCAAAAAATGAAATTTATATGAAAAAATGAGTATTTTTTTAATCAATTTATTTTTTAAATTAAAAAATTTAAAAGTTAAAAATTAAATTAAGGTTGAAAAGCATTTATATTCTTACCAACACAAGTCAAGTTGAATTGTTAATTTACATTTTTTTAAAAATTTTCTAAAAATTACAAACTAAATTGAAAAAAATAAAAATATCAACAAAGATATTTTTAAATGTTTTAAAATTTTACTCCCAAAAAATAAGAATTATATGAAAAAATTGAGTTTTTTTTTTTAAAAAAAATTATCAAATTAAATTTTAAATTGAAAAAATTGAAAATTCAACCAAATTAACTTCATCATACATACATACATGCATGTATGTATGTCCATCTATAGAGAGAAGAAAAAAAAAAAAAACCGTCATCATAGTCCATCTACATGCATGTATGTCGCATCATCATACATACATACATAACGTTTCAAATCTGCACGAAAACCCCAAGGTATATAAATCCCAAAACAGAACAATTTATTAAAATTAAAAAAAAAAAAAAAATCCTTGCAGTCACGAACATGGCACCTTTCTCTCCTTCTTCACCGCTGTCTTTCTCTCTCTAAAACTCACTCTGTCTCTCTCTCTCTCTCTCTCTCTCTCGCAAATCACGAAGAAGTGTCAGGCGATTCTATTCAAACATTCACAAAAGCATATAAAAATAAAAATAAAAATAAAAAGAAGCAAGAAAGACCTTCCAATTCTTCTTTTGGAAGCATCGAATCTCGATCTAAATCTATACAGGAAATGTTCGAAAACCCTAGTGTTGACGTTAGGTTGATCTGCAGATATTCATGAAGCAGATTCGCCGATGCAGGAGGATATTAATCCTCTCTTTGCTCGCTGTTTCTGTGTTTGTTCCTATCTTTTTACTCTCCGATAGGCATAGAAATTTCAATTCAGAAGGTGACACAATTTCCAATCATTATATAGTTATTCGTTTTGTCAGTTTTTATTAGTTCGTTTGATTGATTGCGAATTTTTTCTTGCAGAATCGAAAGAATTTATTGAAGATTTATCGAGTATTGTATGAATCTCACTATTTTTACAATCATCCTATATATTCCTTCATTTTTATTTATCTTGTTGGTTGCAGAGAAAACTGAGGAATATGAAATCTTTTTTTTCTCTCCTGATTTTGTATCAAATAGTTGTTTCTGTGTTTTTTTTGGGGTCATACACTTTCTTTGCAACCAACAAGAGTTTAGATGTTTATATGATAAGGGTTAATGACTGTTTTATTATTGTGGACAGAAATATAGGACAGATGCTCTCAAACTTATTGCAATCGAGAAGGTAATCTAGATTTGCTTTGGGTTTTTCGAATGACAGTTGTTCCTGTTTGTTTTATTACTTATTTTTGTGGAATGGAAATTGGGTGCTCTGCTGTGTAGGAAGAAGGAGAAAGTTTGAAAGAGCCACCACCAGTTGTATACAAAGATGGTAGTTTTAGTTCTGTGGTTAGCTTCAGTTCATCTGATGGGAATATTAGATCGAACCAATTAGGAAATGCCAAAAGCAGATTGGAAAGAAATGGTTAGTGCCATTGGCTATTGTTTAAATTATCCATTGATTCTCATACATTTGTCTATTATGGATTTTTATTTAATTTTTTCTTTGGCTTCAACCTTTAGGTACTAATCAGGACAAAAAGCAATACTATCAGCAAATTCAGTTGGAGAAACAACCATTGACATCTGGGCGAAAGGTATGATATCTGCACAATGCGTTACGACTTTCAATAATCTTAAAGGTGGTTGAAACTTTGAATAAAGTGAAGGTGGTCTTAAACTATAATATTGTATATGAACTATATCATTTCCAGAAGAAGGAAAAAACTGTTCCCGCTGGCTTCTTGAAAGATCTTTCTAAAAGTTTTACACTTAAAGATAATGATTCTTCATGTGGAGGTATACATTATTGATTGGATATGCTAACTGTTCTGTTTACATTGATGAATGATGATAATGTAAGTGAAAAAACTTCCTAAATCAAATATTTGTTAGTAGGAAACGTAGTTCTGGACATATGGTCAGGAGATGTTTGTTCTCGCAGTGTTCAATTTCGTCATATGCTTGACTATGCAATCATTGGGTACCTGGGGAAAACAGTCAATTTTATTTGAATCAAATGGGGGTAAATGTAAATGCCTCAAAACATATGGAATACATCAAGTTATTAACTTCTAGATAACCCAGAGTAGTTAATACCAGTAAAAAGTCATACTGTTGTAGGATCCAACCACAATTCATTTTTAAGGAACCTACTTTAGAATTAATTGAAGCCAAATTTTTGACATAGCTAAGTATTGAGGGGGGATTTCATTAGTTTCGCCTCATCTCTGAAGCCAGTGTACCTTCTAAAAAGAAAGAAACATGACATTGGTAGATGAAATGCTCCTCACGAGTATGTTTAGTCATTGTGATTGAGCCACTTCACCAGCTGGAGAGGCAGAAGGCACATTCCTATAAATTAGAATATTGGTCATAAAAGTAAAGTTGCTTTATTTATTTATATAATTACTCAGGCCTCGTTTAGCAAGAGGCTATTTTAGCCAATTAGCCAAAAAGTTACTAAATTAGCCAAAAAGCCAACAACCCATACCAAAAAGTCAATGTAAATAAAAATGTATATTGAAGCTTAAAATGCTCAAGAATATCTTCAAATAAAAGTTGGAGGTTGAATATGTATATGTATTTGTAAATAAAAATGTATATTGAAGCTTAAAATGCTCAAGAATATCTTCAAATAAAAGTTGGAGGTTGAATATGTATATGTATTTGTAAATAAAAATGTATATTGAAGCTTAAAATGCTCAAGAATATCTTCAAATAAAAGTTGGAGGTTGAATATGTATATGTATTTGTAAATAAAAATGTATATTGAAGCTTAAAATGCTCAAGAATATCTTCAAATAAAAGTTGGAGGTTGAATATGTATATGTATTTGTAAATAAAAATGTATATTGAAGCTTCAAATGCTCAAGAATATCTTGAAATAAAATTTGATCTATAAGTGTAACTGCTGTAAATTCATAATTTTTTTTTTTTTTGGCTTAAATAAAGCAACAAAGGAATTTGAGCAGATTTATATTCCTTAAATATGATCTATAAGAAGTATGTAGAAATTTAATGTATAAAGAGAAATGTGGAGAGTATGTGGATTTAGTGGGTTAGGTTTAGTGGAGTAGGTTTAAGTGGGTGAAGTAGGTGGAGAGTATGTGGATTTAGTGGGTTAGGTTTAGTGGAGTAGGTTTAAGTGGGTGAAGGTTTAGTGGAGTAGGTAGATTTTAACAAAGTATAACTACTTTTTTCTCTTGTAAGGTATATATTCATTCCGAAATAAGTTATCTGGGTATGTAAAATAAGAATGAAGTGACTTCTTATATACTGATTGATTTATAAAAAATACAAATGAAACCAGAAGTCAAAGATCTGTGGAGTACATTTAAAACAATTTATTAACCATGTGTGTATAAGAGGATGTACTAATTGCTCTCATCAATGACCCCCACCTCATTTGCAGTTTTGCCTACTTCATTGGAATATTAAATCATTGCCAACCAAATAGATTAGATACGATATGTATGAAGTAGAAGTGATGCAAGAACAAAGTTTTGGTCAATCCTTTCTAACTCAGTCTATTTAATCAAAGATCAGTTAGTAATGCCAACAATAAGGGGAAAGTTTCTTAAGCAAAATTGTATAATATTTTTAATCTTGTCATCAGGCTCTAAGACTAGCATTTCAATTGTTTGAACTTGAAGGTGAATACAGGACTACATAATCAATGCTTAGGTTTGTAACTTTAAAATCAATGACATGTAATATTCTATTAGTATGCAAGCATCTTCAATTTGTTTTTGTGCCTTAATGTACTTGAGTAGTATTTCAATTCATCTTGAATCCTTTGAAGCTATATTACATGGACCTGGGGGTAGGTATGGGTCTAAGTGTCCAGTCATCTAATTCCATATCCAAGGACACGAGGACACGGCCAAATGTTCATAATATGGTAAAATGGAGTTCACAAGGTGTCATAGAGAATTTTGTGCATAAATTAATATGAGGGTTGCATCCATAGTTTTATCGTTAATTCAAGTTACTAAATATGTGTTTGCTAGGTGAATATCCAACTACACATGTTAGACATGTTTTCCATACCCTCACTCAAGTTTTGAGTGCTTCACACATTTAGAAGAGTAGGAAGGAATGTTTGGTTGTTGTATTATCTAGTATTTACTTAAATTTATTTATAACCTACTGAGTTTCCTAATACAACTTCCAAACATCTTTATGAACATCTTTCTTTAATAAAAAAAAAAAGAAGACATATTTAAGAACAGCTTGCTTATCTATTTACTGCCATGGGATGTTCTTGGTATAGCACTAGGTTTTACATGAGGAATTCGGGATTTTTGGTCATCAATTATGAACTTTTTCCTTTTGACAGAAAGGATATTGGTTATTGAAGTTGATTGTTTTGATGATACGTTTTACACATTAGACAGATGAAAAGCTACTTATTTGTTGCAATTTTTTTCTCTGCCATGAAATAAAACTAAGCTTTACTTGGATGGCTATTTTTAAGGTATCAAGTGCAAGTGCAATTAATTTCGGTATCAAACCAGGAAATTAAGCAATTTTGAGCAAGCTTCTTGTTATGCTTGCACTTGGACATGTTTTGTTAAAAGTGGTTATATGTCTAACGCTATGTTTGGATCTCAGGTTTGTTGACAGATAGGAAAATGAAAGAGAACTGAAATTACTCAATTCATACCCTCTTCTTTTTTCTTTTTCTTTTTCTTTTTTCGTGTGTGTGTTTAATTGAACAAAACAATTTGATTTTTTTAATGTATATATATTCATTTGCTTTTCATTCCTATCCCAATTAAATCAAATAAAGAAATTTGCTTGCTTCTTTCACCTCATCTCTCTCTCTCTCTCCATCAACAATTCCAAGATGAAAACATATCGAAAGTAGAAATATCAACTTGTTTTAGGCTTTGCGATCTGCTTATTAACTTGGTCTTGATTTTGTGTACCAGGAACTGTCAAGACAACCAATAGTTAAGCACATTCAGAGTATACCATCACAGACAAGGAGAGTATTAGATGCCAAGGTGAAAGAGATGAAAGATCAGTTGATTAGGGCCAAAGCATACTTGAAATTTGCACCACCGACTAGCAACTCCCAATTAGTAAGAGAGTTGAAACTACGAATTAAAGAGCTAGAACGAGCTGGTGATTCCACCAAGGATTCTGATTTGTCTAGGAGGTAAAGTTCTAATTTTCGTCTTGAATGATGTTTGAAGGATTAAATATTATAAAAGGAAGGAATATTTAATGCATTAACATGTGTATTTGTAGAAGAAGCTTTGCAATCGGTGAAATGAAACACAAGTCTCATATTTTTGTGTTAGAGTAAACTAATTCTTTAAACTTGTGGTACCATCCTTCATCTTATAAGTTGTAGCAGATTGCAGTTTTTACACAGTAAGTCAAGTACTTGTTCACCTGGGGGATACATTTTAATCAGATTTAGTATTAGGGCCTTCTACTTAGATACGATATGTATGAAGTAGAAGTGATGCAAGAACAAAGTTTTGGTAACTGGCTGGGATAGGAGATACTGCCTGCCTTGCTGATCAAGGTAAATGGGTCCAAATTTTAATGTTTTTTAAATATCTATTAGGGAAAATGACCTTGAATATTGAATTTGCTGTTAAAGTCAAATCTGATTACTTAAGCCATAGAAGATGTGTAATTGAGTATCTGGGTGCATTTGACATGCCTACTACTTGAAGAGATAATTAACCCATATCTCATCTAAGAACAGTTAACTTTTCAGTACTCTGCAGAGGATGAAAGCCATGGAGAATACCTTGTCAAAAGCCAGCCGTTTGTATACAGACTGCCCAACCATGGCCATGAAACTCCGTGCTATGACTGACAATGCTGAAGAACTGGCTCGGGCACTGAAGAATGAAGCTGCATTTCTTGTTCAGCTTGGCGGAAGGACCACCCCCAAAGGCCTTCACTGCCTGTCCATGCAGTTGACTGCTGAATACTTTGCTCTACTGCCCAAGGAGCGGGAGTTCCGTAACCAACAGAAGTTGCTTGATCTTAATCTCTATCACTTTGTTGTCTTCTCTGACAACATTTTGGCTTGTTCAGTGGTTGTGAACTCAACTGTTTCCACCTCAACGGTAAGCTGCCTGGACTTTATTTGGTGCAATATCACTTGGATACCATTTTTTAGCCCAATTACACTTGACCTTACTGGTATATATTAAGTTTTGTTTTAGATGCCTATAATCCCAAGCATGGTCTACAATAGACAAAGAGAAAAATTACTAAGAAAATTACATTGATCAATGGGAACTCATCATACCCATCATTGATTACAGTTTTGGACAGCAGCTGATCTGCTACATGCATCTGCCCTTGATACTTGTTTTGAGACTTGATTAGTCTAATGAAATTTTCATGGAAGCTATCATTTTTTCTAATGCATGATGAATTACCGCGTGTTCAATGTTGTGGATAATCATTATATTGCTTGTCAAAGCCATCATTTTTATTTTAGTATCAAACAATTCTATTCATGGTCCTGTCATATGTGCACAGGAAGTAGCACTTATACACGTGTATATATATATACAGATTTACTTAATTAATATATTATATTTTCATCGATAATAATATGTTTTTAGTGATAATCGACTATGCATTCTCCATAAAACTTGTTACATGAAAGAAATTGTTTAGTCTTTGGCCATGTCTGAACTAGACTTTATTTGCCCATATTCCTGTTTAATTGCAAATGGACTCCGGTGTTCGCTTCCTGATGTCATTTTACCCATGGATAACTACCGCATGAGTTTTGGATTTTTCTTGCGATATGAACTTTTATTTCTATGTCAAGGGCTTCTAAGTAACTGCTGCAATTGCACTGAATTTGTCTGATGAATTGAAGGGACTGGAGCCTTCATTTGAAGAAAGTTGAATTGGTTGTGATGACAACAAATTTGGGATCGTCTAAAATTGTATTAGTTAGGTTAGGTTTGTCAAGGGGTCAAACCACAGAAACAACCTCTTCACACACGGGGGGTAAGGTTGTGTATGTTTGACCCTTCCTAGATCCTGCAATGATGCGAGCCTTGGGCATTGAGATTGCTCATTTTAGGATTATTAGTGAATCGTGAATGTAATTCAAGTAGTGAATGCCTAATTTTTTCTGCCAACCCCATTAGACTAATAGCATGAGAATCCCAGGTATCTAATTGATGAATCAATGTGGATACATTTTATTCTTTGTAAACTAAAAAGGAAAAAAGAGAGGCTTATGACACATTTAATTAGAATTGAACTAGCTTTGCTTGACCATTTGCAGGAACCTGAGAAGATAGTCTTTCATGTAGTGACAGATCCTCTAAGCTTCCCAGCAATGTCGATGTGGTTCATATTAAATCCTCCTGGGAAATCTGCAATGCAGATTCAGAGTACAGACACTTTTGAATGGTTGTCCACCAAGTATGGTGCAACACTGCCGACACAAAACTCCCTAGACTCGAGATATACATCTGAACTGAACCACTTACGTTTCTATCTGCCAGACATTTTCCCTATGCTGAGTAAGATTGTGCTCCTTGACCATGATGTGGCTGTGCAAAGGGATCTGACAGGACTTTGGGATGTTAATATGAAGGGGAAAGTAAATGGAGCAGTGGAGACTTGTCAGGAAGGTGAATCTTCATTCCGTCGTATGGATATGTTTGTCAACTTTTCAGACCCAATGGTGGCAAAGAAGTTTGATCGCAAGGCATGCACGTGGGCATTTGGGATGAATTTGTTTGATCTTAAAGAGTGGAGGAGACGGAATTTAACTGGGGTCTACCACAAATATCTGCAATTGGTATAGTTCATCCGCACCCTTCATTCAAATGTTTTTTGCATGCTCATTTGTTGGTGGATTCAAGCTAATTTTTGCTGACCTGTCAAATAATTCATTTTGTTCTTCCAAATTATCTTTTTAGAAGGATGATTGTTGTGCCTTTAATTGAGGTTGTACTACACCTCTGCAACTCTTTCACACTCTGGATTAGAAGGTGAGAACAGAAAATAAAATAAAAGAAATGATTGTAGTCTCTCATTTAGGTGAAAAAATAAAAGAAATGATTGTGTTTTCTCACTATTGTATTTGGATGAGTAAGAAAGTATTTGATATAGGGATATGGGTGATATTTCTTTTTCTTGTTTTGTATTTTAATGGGCAATCTCGGTATTATGTAAAATACATAACCAATCATTTTGTTTCTCACCCAATCTCACCACTTTTGATAAGAAATGAAACCTATAAATTAAGAGAGTATCTCTATCACCATGTCTCACTATTTCTCACATTTTATCACCTGACTTGTAAACCAAACGTGAGAAAAGAGTTCTATTTCCTTTAATTTCTTATCATTTCTCACTAAATCACTCTATCCAAGTGGAGTGTTAAAAAAAGTATTGAGTCACCATTTGTTTCCTTTTCATCATTTCGGTTCTTCATCACTACCGGATGGCATTTTGTTGATATGTCACAATGGTTGAGTCTAGTTGAGATGTATTTTAGTTTCTGTATTTGGAGCTTGCCCATCAAACTAGGCCTTTTGAAGGTTTGTTCATGAGGCACTGCATGCCATATATCACCGATATATAGCTAACTATACATGCTTTCTTTCTTCTTCGTTTTTCCCCTGGTGGTGTAATTTTGTTTATGCATGTATTAAGCTTTATTTTGAACACAATTAGTTTTCTAATGATTGTATTATTGTGGAGGTCATGCAGGGATATAAGAGGCCGGTGTGGAAAGCAGGTAGCTTGCCCTTAGGTTGGGTCACCTTCTACAACCATACGGTGGGTTTGAACAAAACATGGCATCTCCTTGGGCTCGGTTCTGACTTGGGTGTCAGGCAGGAAGACATCAAAAAGGCATCAGTGATACACTTCGATGGAATTATGAAACCTTGGTTGGATATTGGGCTCGAGGATTACAAGGAATATTGGAGGAGACATATTAACTATGAACACCCATATCTCCAACAGTGCAATATTCATAGATAATTAAAATCCTGCATCATTAGTAGCTTGAATCAATCCCATTCTACCGCACAGATTTGTTGCTTTTTGTTGGAGGAACTCCATTTGTTCACTTGATTTTTTTTTCCCTTCTCATGCTTCTACAATTTTTGTTTATAAATTTCAACTCGTATTTTTTTATTTTCTGGGCATAACCTTCTAGGAGCGGAGCTGAGCTGAGCTGAGTCAATTGTTAGCAACAACAGGAATGAAATAAGAGTGTCCCTAGGGTTGGTTATAATGCTGGTTCATGTGTAAATAACTCATTCTAAAAGTGAAATAGTATTTTCTAATTTGAATACAATAATAATATAGATTTTCATACCTGTCTAGTTACTGTATCTATATCTTTTCTATCTTAGATGACTTGATTATTGTTCTTCAGAGTGACCCTGATGGTTTTATCCAAGCTTTTTTTGTGAAATGCTTTACTGCATGACTAGCTGGTGTGGCCATGGTCTCTTTGTTGCTATATTTTTGGAGTTGTGGTTAGGTTATAACTCAAATTGATTTTAGGAAGCGCTTCTGAATGCAGGACTCTCATCCGGTAAGAACTTCTATAATCATGTTAAAAGAAAAACTGTCACGCATTGGTTTGCCCATATTTCTCCTTTTTCACCAAAAAAAAATAAAAAAAATAAAAAATTGATGCCATACATGACATTTCAGTAATTGATTGGTACCCACCACAACAATCAACTGTTTGGGTTAGTAAACTCGAAAAAAGGGGAGCCCAAGAAACCAAAGAGGTGCTACTCTAGATAAATTATTGATTATTATTGATTATAAAAGGATTGTGTAGTGTGACAGGTGGAGGGAATTGATTGGATGGTTACAGATGAGGCAGTATCTGTCTATCCATGATGTGTGGTGCATTGTGGATCAATTATATTCATTTCATGACAATATATGAAATAAATAAACTGAAATAATCATAGGCTTCAACTTTTTTCCTATACTGGTAGCTGCGCTGCTCAATTCTGCGGAACAAAATCTGAGAAGAAGAACTAAATTGTTCTAAAATGGCTACCATTACTGCTTGCACCTCATCATTAGTAACACGCACCGCCGTCGTGCAGAAGAGAATGATGGCGGTTCCTTCCTCATCTGTTCTTGGTAAGAATTACTCAAAAATACTGCAATTCATTCATTTTGTTCTTTATAAAATATAAAATTCCTACTTTTCATAGAAATTATAACGAATTAATCTGTCCTTCCTTCCAATAGTTATAGTTCCTTTGGGAATTATAGCCCCCCCCCCCCCAAAAAAAAAAAATTGATTACCTATGTTGGATAAAAAAGAAAAAAAATTCCTTTTATTTGGATAAACATCAGAGAAAAGAGAATAATAGTTTTTCCTTTCATCAAAATAACATTTATCGTTGTATTTAGTTGGGTATTTTTTATGTTGTGAAAATTTGATATTCAGCTGGTTTCTTAACTTTCTAAATTTCTTCACCTTTCCGTTGTGTTTAATTGGAGGATTTGTAAAGAGATTTGGAAAGGAAAAGAAAAAAAAGTGTATAAAACTAAGTGAAACGTTTCACATATATTTTTCTTTTCTTTTTTAAATCCCTTTCCAAATCCTCAACCAAACATTGCGTTAGAGAGATTCAAAAAGTGATTCTCAGCCTTTCTTCTTAGTTCATTTCATTCTCTCCTTAAACTTTGTTTAAATCTTGAATTTTAAGATGGATTTGTGAAGGAAAAAATGAAGAGAAAAATAAATGAAATAGAAGTAAACTTCTTCACAAATCTTCTTCTTCTTTTTTTCCCTTACAATTTTAAAATCCAAACTCAACATTAAGGATTATAAGAGATTTTCATTTTTGCCCCCCTCTCCAAATCACCAAACTAACAGTTACTCCACACCTTTTTCGGAGACATGACACTAGCAAAACAATGACTATGTTTGGTTCTATTTTTCTAAAAAATTTTACTTTCTTATTTTTCGTATTTTTTTGTTTTTATTGAATTTTTTTAATATTTTATGCAATTTTTTTTACTTTTTAAACACACCTACACCTAAAAAGTAAAAAAATTGTAAAAAAAAATCTTTTAAAAATTCACTAAATACCATAAATACAAAAAAAAATACAAGAATTCAGTACATTTTTTATATTTTTATGTATTTCTTAATTTTTTAAAATATTTTTTCACATTTTTTTTTACTTTTTTAGATGCATCTAAAAAAGTAAAAAAAAATGTGAAAAAATATTTTAAAAAATTAAGAAATACATAAAAATATAAAAAATGTACTGAATTCTTGTATCTTTTTTTATATTTATGGTATTTAGTGAATTTTTAAAAGATTCCCCCCTCTCCAAATCACCAAACTAACAGTTACTCCACACCTTTTTCGGAGACATGACACTAGCAAAACAATGAATATGTTTGGTTCTATTTTTCTAAAAAATTTTACTTTCTTATTTTTCGTATTTTTTTGTTTTTATTGAATTTTTTTAATATTTTATGCAATTTTTTTTACTTTTTAAACACACCTACACCTAAAAAGTAAAAAAATTGTAAAAAAAATCTTTTAAAAATTCAATAAATACCATAAATACAAAAAAAATACCATAAATACAAAAAAAATACAAGAATTCAGTACATTTTTTATATTTTTATGCATTTCTTAATTTTTTAAAATATTTTTTCACATTTTTTTTACTTTTTAGATACATCTAAGTAAAGTACATCTAAAAAAGTAAAAAAAAATGTTTAAAATTTTAAAAATATTCACTAAAAACAAAAAAACATGAAAATCAAAAAACTCAATTTTTAAAAAACTTAATCTAGAAAACTCAAACCGAACAGACTGATTCAAATCTAATGTATGATGCAGGGTTGCCAGCAATGGCAAAGAAGGGAAAAGTGAGATGTTCAATGGAGGGAAAGCCATCTTCTGTGGAGGACAGCAGCAGCAGCTCAAAAGTGGGGATGGGTGCATCATTGATGGCTGCCGCTTGTGCTGCAACCATGTCAAGCCCAGCCATGGCACTGGTGGATGAGAGGCTGAGCACAGAAGGAACTGGACTTCCCTTTGGTTTGAGCAACAACCTTCTGGTTTGGATCCTGGTGGTTGTGTTTGGTTTGATATGGGCTTTCTACATTATCTACACTTCCACCCTTGAAGAGGATGAGGAGTCTGGATTGTCTCTCTGAACCCAAAAACAAGAGGAGTTGTTGTGTTTCATTCATCATATCACTATCAAAATGCAATGTTGAGCTTTGTGTTTACAATTGCATTTTCTTCTCTGTAATATTACCTTGTTTTCTGTATTTAACTACTTTGTTTCTTGATTGTACTTCCCTCTCCTTTTACTGTTTTTTATATCTTGTTTATTATAAAAAAACAAAAAAAACAAAAAAGGAAGATCGTCAAAACTTTCAAAACTCAACTGCAAATAATTATCTAAACATTGATGCTCTATTCCATTAGCTCATAAACTAGCAACTGTACAGAAAAATAACTGTACCATTCGTGCAAAACCACGCACCGATCATATACTAGAAATTTAAAGTCTTTAAGAGTGAACTTCAAAACAATGTAACTAACAAACCATCTAATGGCAAAACAAAACAAAACAAACTTATAATATGACAGAATAGGTTGAAGCTCAATTAAAATATCTCCTTCAAGTTCAGTGAGTGTAGCTTGAAGTGTTGACTTACCAAAACAAAATCAAAATTTTTGTCAGTGTTGAGTCACATTTTCTCTATGCATGATGGTAATAATGCAACTTGGTAATAATAACAACTTCCTCGACAGCCTTGTGGAAGCAAGTTCTTATTCTCAATTGTATTAGCATCAGGTGAATCCTCGGAAACTTCCTAGTTCTTCATTCTAAAAGAATGTAAAATTTTAAAAATAAATAAATAAGTATTTAACATTTTTTTTGTATTTTTTCATATTTTAATTATTTATTTATTTAAAAGAATAAAAGCAAACGTTGAAGACAAGAAGAAGGTTAAACTTTTCTATCCCTAACCTCTCCCTCTACACATTACTTTTCTTCCGACCTGCCCTCCTCGCCGAAAGTCTATGCTGTAGCTTACCTTGTTCAGGGTAAGGGGACCCTGTTCCGACGGGAGGTGTTGTCTTAATAAATGCCGTGACGTGCTGCATTAATGGTGATGTGCAATGGCAATAACTTTGCAGATCTTTGTCTGCTGATGTGGCTCGTCCTTCACCCGCCACGTGCCTGAATGCCGTTGGTTCTTGATGCCATATTGGATTCCAGCTGTTCTGGACTCCATTGGCTGGGCTATGTATTGGGCCCCGATTGATGGGCTTGGGTTGTTTATAGTGGTTCATGGCCTTTGTGGGCCTGTCCGTATCAGTAGTCCTCCATTCCCAAGTGTAGCTTCAGACCAGCGAAGGGAATATGTATGAGGAAAATGAGTCCGACCGAGATAGGCAGCCGAGTTGGTGGACCGAGCGTTAGGAGGGGTGACCGCGCAAGAAGGCCGAGCTAAGAGGCCGACCGCGAAGAGGGGCGACCGCGCAAGAAGGCCGACCGTTGAGGACAGACCGAGCTAAGGGGCCGACCGTGAGGAGGGGCGACCGCGCAAGAAGGCCGAGCTAAAGGGCCGACCGTGAGGAGGGGCGACCGTGCAAGAAGGCCGACCGTTGAGGACAGGCCGAGCTAAGGGGCCGACCGTGAGGAAGGGCGACCACGCAAGAAGGCCGAGATAAGGGGCCGACCGTGAAGAGGGGCGACCGCGCGCGAGGGCCGAGCGGATTGGCGCGGGGCTCAAGAGGCAGCGTGGCAAGTGATAATTTGAAGTGGAAAAGACAGGGTAAGGGGAGTGGACAGTGCATCGTGGTCGTACACGTGGCTACATCCCGTAGGGGGGGAAGATTAGGCGTTGGATCAGAAACGAAACGTTAGGTCATTATGGGTGTTGAAGAGACGGTTTTGGCGGATGATTTTGAAAAGTTTTCAAACTGGCGAAAATTAATTGGGATCCTTGGAATACAGGCAAACCGTGGGCTTTTGGCATTATTCAATTCACCTACTTGTTTACAAAAAATCAAAATATTCCAAGTGTGAATTCCTTTGTTGCTCACGGTACACCTCTGCAACACTTTGTTGATTTCGGAATTTGTCTCTGTCTCCATTGGGCCCCTTCCTATTGGCCCACAAACCGAACTCCGAATCATATTTTGACACGTGTTGGCAGTCTAGCTGGACTTGCATCGTAATCGCTTCCCGAGGAAAAGATATTCAGTGTGTTTAGTTTGAGTTTTCTGGATTAAATTTTTTGAAAATTGAGTTTTTTGGTTTTCGTATTCTTTTGTTTTTAGTGAATATTTTTAAAATTTTAAACAATTTTTTTACTTTTTTAGATGCACCTTAGTTAAAGGTATCTAAAAAGTAAAAAAATTGTGAAAAAATATTTTAAAAAATTAATAAATACATAGAAATACAAAAAATGTACTGAATTCTTTTTTTTTTTTTTGTATTTTTGGTATTTAGTGAATTTTTAAAAGATTTTTTTTACATTTTTTTTTACTTTTTAGGTGTATTTATGTTAGGTGTGTTTAAAAAGTAAAAAAATTACTTAAAATATTAAAAAAATTCAATAAAAAAAACATGAAAAATAAGAAAGTAAAATTTTCTGAAAAGTGTTTTAAAAAACTGGTAACCAAGCACATTGAATATTTTTTTTTTGAAAAAATTAAATTATTGAAGGAAAATAAAAAATTTTAAAAAACTTGGTGTAAAATTAAAATATTAAAAATGATGGAAAATATTAAAAATTAAAAATATTGATGGAAAATATTAAAAATTTTGTATCTATAAAATGAGTATGATGATGGAACATTAATGTGCAAAACTGAGGAAAAAAAATTAAAAATGAAAAACTGTTGATCTTCTCCATTTTAAAACTGGAGATTCAGCTTGTTTGGTTCCAATTTCCAGAAAATTTTGATTTTTTATTTTTCGTATTTTAATGTTTTCAATGATTTTTTTTTATATATTTTAAGCATTTTTTTATATAAAAAAAATTAGACACACCTAACATAAATACATTTAAAAAGTATTATATTTATGAAAAAAATCTTTAAAAAATATACTAAATACCAAAAAATACAATATATATATATATATAAATTCAGTACATTTTTGTATTTTTGTGTATATATTAATTTTTTAAAATATTTTTTCACAAATATTTTATTATTTAGATACATCTAAGTAAGGTGCATAAAAAAAGTAAAAAAATTACTTAAATTTTTAAAAATATTCACTAGAAACAAAAAAATACGAAAAATAAAAAACTCAGTTTTCAAAAAACTGAATTCATAAAACTGAAACCAAATACTGTTATCGATTTTATTGGATGGTTGAATCAAACTAATAAGTAGAAAGGTAAAAACGTGTAATGTCATGCTCTGTTTTTTTTTTCATCAGTTAGTAAAATATCTAGAACATTATTATGCAAAATTGATAATGTTTTAGTTTTAAGAATTGTAAAAAATTGAAAATATTATCAGTTTTGCTAAATAGAATTTATTAATTCAAAATATCTTAGATAGGACTTGAGCTATCATAACATTTGTAAATAGAATTTTTAAATAATTAACTCAAAAAAATTAGCAAAATATTATTGAAAAACCAATTTTCAAACTAATATGTGGCTTTGCTAAAAAAAACTAATATGTAACATTTGAAAGATTATAACACTTGGGCCAAGGCGGGCCACGGATACGGCTGATAAATCGTGGGCCATTCTTATGGGCCTGCATTGATATTAGACGAAAAGTTTCTGACTTTTTTTTGGAAAGATTTGCACTTTTCTCGGACCAAAAGGAGGCAGAATCTTCGCCGGCGCTTTTTTCATTGAGCTAACACCCGTTAATTGATTTAAGAAAAAAACTATCGAGAGTTTTAGCCTCCGTTTGGGGAATGGGTTGACTTTTTAGCCTGGGCTATTTTAGTCTGGTTTGGAAAGAACTTTTTAGTTTTTTGACTTTTTTAGCTTTTTTTTGTGAGAGATGATTGTAATGATTATGGGTTGGATTTGATGTTTTATTTTTGTGGCTAAAATAGCCTATTTTGTTTTTTATGACTATTTTAACCAAAAAAGCCTGGCTTTTTTCTTCCCAAACATAGCCTTAATTGTCAAGTTCTTTCTTGAGAGTTCTAATGATGTGTGGATCTTATAATGATGTGATATTTGTGCTTTTTTTTTTTTTTTTTCATTATCAAGTTATTAGAGTTTTGTTTAGAGTTTTAAAATTAGAAAAATGTATCATTTCTGTTAATTTAAATATTCTATTTTAATAATTAATTATTAACATTGACTGATATAAATATTAAAGGAGTGGATGAAAAATGTTATCACTATATATTTAATTTTTATATGTATTCATACCATAGATGCAAGAGTAAAGGGTTTGGATTTTATATTTATTATTGTGTTAGGCAATATATTATTCTCCTATTTATTTCTTATCTATTATTAAAAAAGTCTAATCATATATAATAATTTGGATTAGGCAATTCAATCGAGTTCATAGATTCATCAATTGAATCAGTTCATTAAAGTATCCAAATTTGATAAAATAATCAATTTATTTTGTAATTCTAAAACATAATCATAAAAATCAACAATGCTACATATATTTAAATTTTTATTAACAATCTTATTAAAAATATATATATTCAAACATCAATGAATGTTTAAATATCATTTTTTTTATAACCAATCAAATTTAACTTCTTACATTTTTAATATAATTTTTAATAAGATTGTTAGTATAGATTGTTTTAAGAAGTTAAAAGTTAATTTTTAATTTTTTTTAAATATATATAAAAAATATAGAAATAATATAACTCAAAAAGATTAAAAGTCAAAAAATTAAATCTTAAAACCTATTCCAAAAGAGACCAATGTATGGAATTATTTCATAAAAATTTATTACAATTATCTTTCAATAAATAAATTGTACGGTTTTTAAACGTAATTATTATAAAGGAATGAGATTATAGGGTGTTTTAGAAAATTAGTTAAAACTTAATTTTTTAAATTTATTTTATCTTTTTTATGAATAAATTATGTGATAAATAATATCTATACTATATACGGGTGATATGCTAGGGAAAAAGGAGTTAATATAATCTATACTATATATTAAGCAAAATGGGTTTTTAATTCATAGACCTTATAAGAGCTCTAATATCCTAATCCTAATTTTCTAATTTTTTGATTTAACAAAAAAAAAAAAAGAAAACCTCAGCATTTATTGTTTCTCCCAACCCAACCTCAACATTTATTAACTTCTCCTAACTCACAATCCCTTTTGATTTCTCTCATAATTACTGCAGCACCTTTTTCAATTTCTTTCATACACTATGGTTACACACAAAAAAAAAAAAAAAAAAAAAGAATTTAGCTATAGATCTCAAAAAGATATAACATCTAAATTTGAATTATGAGTTAATAATGTAATTATGTATTTTTTATTATGTATATCTATCAAAATTTTAAATCACTTAATGGGACAAATTAATCAATTTTTCAAAAATATTGATTTTTAATTTACAAAATAGATTAAAAAAACTATTAACTGATTTATTTATTTAATCACAAAAATATTTCATAATCTCTCATTCCTAATCTCTCTCACAAATTTTCAAAAAAAAAATATTAAAACCTGCATTCATTTTCTCTCATCCAAAAAATCAGATAATATTTTTTTATTAAAGTTGTAGATATCTACCTATATTTTATATATTATATTATAACATAACAAAAAAAACTAAAAAACTAATTTTTTTTTTAAAGTTTATCTAAATAAACTTTAAATCAATAAAACTCACATGTCTATCACATATCTAACTCACATCATAACTTACCTAAATAATAATAATTAATTTTTTGATTTAAAAAAAAAAATCTTAGCATTTATTAACTTCTCCCAACCCCCAAGTCTTACCCTCATACTAACACTTTAATGCATTAAGAACAAGCATAAAAAAAATTCTTTGAAATCCAACAAATATGAATTCCTTAAAAAGTCCCAACACATATGATTATTATCCCTCATAATAACA